AATAGAATAGAATAGAATAGAATGGAATAGAATAGAATAGAATAGAATGAGAAACAGCCTTTGTTGCTCTGCAAGGGGAAATTCAGGTGTAACAGCAGCAACAGGTAAACATAAAAATTCTTCAAGTATTAAAAACAATATATAAAATTATGATTAACAATAATAATAATATACTGTACTGTATAACAGAAAATACTGTGCAGTTATTAGAAATACACATATTTTACCGTTTGGTATGACCACTGTGTTTTTTATGTTAATGCCTTTAAAGTGCTGCTTCTTTACATTTTACCCCCAAACGTCCAAAGTAAAAAAAAATTTGTTTGTTTTTTTCCCAAAAAGAAGTGCCAGAACTACAAACAACTCCTGATAACACAGGTTTGTCTTTTCTTAATTGCCCATGCCATGCAAGAATTTTTTGCTTAGTTACGCTCAGCCTCAATCAAATCCTGCTCTACTTCCTTCCAGTTCATCTTTATTTTCTTGCTGGAGTGACTTTTGCCAACAATAAAATGTCTCAAGTCCCTCAGAAAGTAAATGCTCTGCTGGTACAGAAGCTGAAAAAGTGATGGTGGTGTTCTAGAACATTTGAGGAACTCAGAAAACTAGCTTTTTCTTTTTTTTCCATGGGCTACATATTTTGGCTTTAACCAAGAATTTTTATTAATTAAGTAATTAACGGGCTAAAAAACCCCAATCAAAAATGCTTCTAATTGACGACTGTTAAAAGGCTCAGAAAATCGTCCATGGTCAATGAATTGGTCCAAACTTATTATCAACAAACTGTGATGGTAGGGTTACAGGTTGGAGTTTGGTCAGAATAGCGATGCAGATAAACTCAGAACACTTAAAACTTTAAGATTAACAAATAAAAATCTGTTGTAACTTGTGAATTTAGTACTCAGGTTTAAACTTAACATTTCCTGAGGAGCACAGATAAGAAAACCAACCAAACGTGGCCTGCATGAAATATGTGTTTCACTGACCTTCTATAGCCATCATGACTCGTAGTTCTCTGGTGAGAAGCTCAAATCTCCTCTCCAGATCCTGCTCATGTTGCCTGYGGACGAGTCGACCATCAGGAACGTTTAAAACCAAACGAGACGTTCACTTTGAGCTGTTTACTTACAGCAGTTCAAGGTTGTCCTGCCTGCGGATCAGAGCGTTCTTCTTGTTCACCAGAGTGAACCACTCCTGGATCAGACGTTCTTCCTCGTCACGGTCACTTCCTGAACAAACACGGAAAGAAAAAAGATCAATAAAAATATTTAAAAAAAACTGGGTCAACTATACCTGCTTAAAAACCTCCATGATTACAGAAAACATCAGTTATGATCTGATGGCCTAA